GACCCCTCGGTGCCATTTGTGGCTTCGAGGGTTCTTACCCCCACCGTTCGGCTTATTGCACCACCAGTGAGGATGCAGATCGCATGAAATCTGTTATCTCTCAAGTTTCTCCGATAATCATCAACGATGCTGCCTTTAAGCCGGAATGTCTGCTAGACAACATCAGGACACACCTTACCGATCTTAAAGACGCCTATCGTAAATGGCACGCAAGACTTCTCCCTCATTTTGAAACGCAGTGGAGGAAGCAGGGCATAGACAAGGCCATCCTACTGTCAACCCAACCTCCTCACCTCCATAATAAAGCCCTGTTGGCGATGGCATCTCTCTGGCACGCACATATGAGAGTTTTCTTTCTCCCTTCTGGTCCCATAGGTCCGACCCTTATGGACGTGGCCCTCATCGCTCACTTACCCATAGTTGGCGATGATCTTGTTCTGGTCTTTTCGAGGGTCGGGAGCCCTCGCCCAACCATGCTGGTTGGGCCTTGGCTAAACTTGCCGAGAAGGAGAGAAGCTGAACCAACTTCGTCTCCAAATTTTTGGGCAAGGAGGGCACCCCTGTGTCCGAGTTGGAACACATGGCGTTTCTCCTTTTTTGGCTATGCAGGTACTATTTTTTTCCCTTAAACTTTTCTATGTAAACTCGAAGTCAGAACTTTAATTGAGCTTTTATCTCTTCACAGATATATAATTCTTTCTCCCTCCAAGCTTGTTCTTTCTTCCCAGGTCGATCTGGCCATTCATCTGGCCAGTGGCCAATTTTTCTCTCTAGGAACCCTGTTTTTAGCTAATCTTTTTGAGGGTTTATCCCGAGTGAGCACCCGCCTAACCGACACCAAAAAGGCGGACACAACAGTTTCGGTACCATTCTGGTTCCTAGAGCTGTGGCTCCGTCTTTATTTCCCGAATGCCTTTTTTGGCAGACTTCCTATCACCCCGAACCCCCAAAGGTCTATAGGTTTTGCCCTGGCCAGACTAACTCCTAGTGCTTCTAACCTTCATCCATCCGACCCTGTCATCAACCAAATTTTGACCAAAGACCATAGCAATTCTCGCTTTTACGTATATGAAACCCTTATACAGTATGATACCGAACTTTTTTGGCTTTTCTCTGACGCACCATATCCCTGACCTTATCCTGATCCTCTTCCCCATCCGACTTATCCCTTCTCCTGGGATTCCGCCATGAAACCCCGATCTCTATTTTCTGGTAAGAGGTCGGACAAGAAACATCATAGATCATTTTATACCTTTAATTATCAGCCCCAATTCTTCGCCCGACAATTTTGTTGATGTCAGGGTCTGCCGGGACCACTAGGCCGACCTCACCTTATACCTCAGAGCCCAGAAGGCCTGGTGATCCCTGAGTTCATCCCGACCTACTTTTCTCAACTCACCAACTACATTACATCCAACTCTTACTTGCCCTTTCTCCGTAAACCTTCGTCGGTTGAAGCCTTCCCAGCCTGGTGGTCGGCCACTTGGTCCCTAATTGCTCCTTCAATCGACCAGTTGCTTGGGAAACTTGTCCCGCCCCAAACCTTGGCGTTAGGTTCCCCTCGATTAGCCCGCTGCTTGGAGAAGGAAAAGGCAGGCACCTGCCGCAGACGGGTCCGGAACGAAAAAGAAGAAACAGAAGGGCGCCCCTGTCATCGACAGATAGGCCATCGAGGAGTACTTGGCATCTCTGCCAGTAGACACAAGCGGTCTACCGAAATACTTGAGGGAGCAATTTGGTAATTCTTTTTTCCTTCCATGTTTCCTTTTGAATGTATGCCCCTTTTAATTTTAATGGTTCCTATTCCATAGGATCCTTCATTGCCACCGACCACGGCCTCGACTATCTCCCAGCCGACCGAGACTCAGCCGACCACGGCTCAACCGACTGTGGCGCAACCGCCCATCACTCTGACTTCCTCTCAGTCAGGTGCGGTCCCGAAGACAAACCAACCGACCGCAGCCCCATCTGTAGTACTGCCAATGACCTGTCGGGGAGAGGACCCGACTGTGAGGCAAGTATCCTCATCCACTTCTACCCCGACTGCCAATCAACCGACAGCTGGACCACCGACCCCGGCCGAACAAGTATCCGCTCAATCGGTCGGTTCTCCAGAAAATGCCCTGACCGCTGGGCAACCGACCATCAAACAGCCGACCCCTCTGCTGGTTGAGGTAAAGTATTTCCTAATATACCTTTAAGAAAAAGAAAAATACTTACCCAACCACTAATTTCAATTCCCCTTTTTATAGGTCAACTTAAGTCTTTCATCGGTTGCTCCTCAACCGACCCCCATTGTCGCAGAGGGGGAACCGCCAATGATCCACCGGCCGGAGGAGCCGGCAGGGAGGCACATTTCTCCTCCGGTCTTGCCTTCACCTGATGTGGTCACGGCGGTGCCCGACCAACTTGTCGCCTTACCCGACCAGGTCGCGGAACTACCTGACCCAGTCGTGGCACTGGCCGACCCCGCTGCTGTGTTGCCTTTGCAGCCAGTCGCTCAGCCCGTGGGCGAGGTTCCTCCTGTCACTCTTCAACCAGTCCAACTGATCCCGCTGCCTCACGACATAAAAAAGATTTCTTCCTCGAAGTCGGGCGAGGCTTCAGTCAATTTTGCCCGAAGGGGTTCGGTTAGTATTCTCTCTCCTTTGTTTTCTAACTTTTCATCCCGTTCTGTAGTTTAATTTTTCTTTCAGGGCATGGAGCTGGCTGTCGCCCACCGTCTGCAACCGGGAGACAAGTCGGTTGCTAGCCCGACGACTCGTCATGGTGGCCCCACGATGTTCCGACTCATGGCCCCTTCTCAAGCCACAGCCGCTCTAGATCAGGTAAACCCTATATTTATATCGTAATGAGTTCACCACGTTTTTCCATACTTAACATTTTCCTTTTGTCTCAGACTGCCCAAGAGATGAACACTTTGGCCCGAGTGAACCTTCCGACTCCCTCCGATCTATCATAGAACGATGTGCCAACCTGTCTTTTGCCGACCTGAGTTTAGCCAACCTTGAAGCTTTAGTTCGGGTCGCGATAGACTTGCTGGTGCAGCCCACACTTGAGTCGGAAGCTCCTCCCGTCCTCGATCGGATGATGGCAAGGATCACCGAACTTCAAGCCGAGCTGCATCTGATCTGACCTCCATCGTCCGAAGCCAGGTCATCTCAACCGACCGCTGATCTAGCCAATCTTGAGGCAACCTTGAAGAAGGTCGATCAAGATATTAAACTTGCCAAGGCTACGCTGGAAGAACTCCAACAAGCGCGACACACGTTGGCGGCTGAGATCTCCCAAAAGACGGAAGAACTCAGACACCTTCAAGAACAGTTGGAGTCCCTGGGTGACAGCATCCAGGAAGGTGGCCGCCTGGTGGAGGCACATTGCCAGACCCAGATGAGTCTCTGCGAGCAACTCCAAACCAGCATACGAATGAGACTCGTCAAGGGACACCAGGAAGCATATCAGCGTCGGTGGGCCACACGGTCGGAGTTGTAATGGGCCGACCTCCGAACTGCCCTAAGGGCCTTGCTTTCTCTGTAACCCCGATGTAATTTGTATAAAATTCCCAGACTTAGTCTATACATCCTATTTTTCAGAACACAGATCCTATGTTCTTTGCACTTTACTAAGTCAGACATTAGAACACCAATCCATGTTTTTGCTCATTTACTAAGTCAATAATTAAACACCATAACACCTATATAAAACTCCATACCTCTTACTGCAAACATCATCAGCACCCACCACATCACGCTCAGAAATGGTTTCTCCTTGCATTCGTGTCCCTCCTTATAACTGGGAAGGTTCTTTGCAGCCATTCCTTATGGGTAAACACCCTATAGGCCATCATGCCGAAGGCCTGATACAGGTACACAAACCGATCGAGCAGTCCACCAGTCGACCCACCAGCCGCTGTACGAACCGACGGAGCAAACGACCGTCAAGCCCACCTACCAGCCGATCAATCAGCCATCCGATCACCCGAACGAACTGCCGATGACCCAGTCGAAGCGCTAATTTTCCAACTGTTCAACCTTCTTACGGATGGCTACCTGATTATACGTAAATGTCCTTATTACTGTAATATTTTTTATTTTAGGTGCTTATACTTTTGGGTAATATTGTAGTGGATATGATATACTATCATGTCATGGCCGTTCTCCTTAACCTTAGCTGGAACAACCTTTTTCTGTCAGAAGAGATCAACAATTTCAAGGAGAAACCTTGTCGTGTTTACAACCATCTGAAGAACTGTCTTTAGTGGGATTTATACTACCAGGTACTAGTCCCTTCAGACGGCCAAACAACCATCCGTCCAGCCCTTTTATTTCAAATGAGCCTCTAAAAGCCGACTTCCGTTTTTGGGGGTTTTATTTGTGGACCCAACTGTCAGGGTCTAATCATAGGCCCATAAAAACCCTAATTTTTTTCTAAAAAAGTAATTAAAATATTTATTTTTTAAATAAATTTTAACAAATAATTTTTTTTATTGAAATTCCTTTGCTTACACAGTTAAAAAAATATATATTTATATTTTTACATACTTCATCTTCTAAGTATAGATATATATATATATATGTCATTCTTGACATATTTGATTTATATTTAATGCATATACGTCCTCTATTGCTAACCTATAAAAGGAATGATAATTATAGCAGTCAGTTTTTACAGTTTTGAAATTTTGTATTCATTTCTACCATTCGTAGCTCACCAAATCCATAAATTACGCGTCCTCTTCGACTCCACCAACACGTTAGTTATTATTAATTTTTTTACCTCACGTACGAAGCATGCGCAAATTATACGGCAGCCATGTTTTTTAATGAGTACGTTAACTATGTTTGTCCAAAATTGTGTATCAATGTATATAGAAATTTAAAAATATTTTGGACAACTGTGTAGAAATAAAAAGAAGTACTTTTTTTAGGGTTTAGGGTTTATAATCAGCTTAAAAGTTTAAAACCAGAATATGTAAAAAAAAATTTATTTTACTTTCTATATTACAGAAACCATCGTACAGGGAAATACATTGTGAAAGGCTGTGATATTCGATATATCAAAAATGTAAGTCTAATACCCAACAAAAGGGTCACAAAGGCGTCAGTAGCTGCATAGTCAACTTGTTCGTCGGTCAGAAAATCTGAATCCCAGTTACTTAGGGTTACATGCAGTGGCTTGGGTAATTCTTTTCCCAAAACAGCTCCTACCATTGCCTTCAGCCCCCTATTAACATGTGCAGCCGGATCAGCATACACACAAGCTCTTTGGTGGAGTGTGTTGAGATCTACAAAATTACTGACAACAATACCGTACTGCCTATGCAGCTTGGCAACGTCTCCTTCTATACCAACACCGCAAAAAAGAAAAACAGGATCCAATAGGAATTGTAGTAGCGAAAAAGGGATATAATCGGCTTTTAAAATTTGAAAAACAAGACAATAGGATGATATACAAAGTTGTATGGTCGCGACGGGATTGTCCTCCCCAGGTTGAAGGTTAGGCCGCCATTCCATATCAAACCCAACAAGAGTGGGACCCCAAAAATAGTGAAAACGAACGACAAAACTTATCCACTGATCAAGTTCCCATCCTTTTTTTGTGACTGTGACTGCACACAATTCATCGTAAAAATGGATATTACGGAAACTAGAACCCATGGTCGGTAATGTTGTAGTTGCCATTAACGGTTTGCTATTTCTTTTTCAAACTAATTTGAGTGGAGAAGGCTTACAGAAAATGTAAAGACAGACAATTGCTTAAATTTTACCTCTTTTATTCGATTAGGAAACACAAAAATGAATGAGGATTGAACTGCAATCACTCATTATATAGACGGAAAGAAGGGGGACAATTCTGCACACAATATTTAATATGAGTTTCTTATAAATCACTTCAAGCTTTTAATACCTACTTTTCTGTATCAAACCACATTTAAATAAATCTTATGAGAAAAATGAACGAAGTTCTAATCAAATCTCTCTGTACACCTCCGATAAACAGTTTTAAGAAATCGTCCTGCAGCAAATAATTCGAATCCCCTACAACTTTATTAGTTAGATTCCATTTCTTGAGAGTAAAATAGTTTTGACATTTCTCAACTTCTCACTAATGTACTGATTTGTATGATAATAAAAATGATAAACGTCAAATCATTGGAGTAAAAGATTTTTTCAGTGGAATCATTGCCAAATTTTTTTGGTCAAATCAGTCGCTACGTTCTTGAAATTATGTACATACTTTGTATGTATTCCAACTTCCCACTTGGATATTATATATATATTATATATATATACACACTATAAGAAAATATCAGGGTTTCTCATTAATGTAACTTTGATCTCCAGATATATCTGTTGCAGACGATTGCCACCGCCAGTTTAGTGTGGATACGGAAGTTAGAAAGTTTAAAAGTATTTTTCAAGCCAAATTATTTAGAATAATAGTAAATTTTTCTTCAAATACTTCCAGTTCAGTCTTCACTGATAGTTCTAAATTTTTTCTCATATATAAAGAACCAAGAATATTTCAGCTGATTTATGATTTCACGTTGTTGATCTGTATCTATGCTACATATCATATTCATTTTATTTTTAACGTCCGATCATTGGTTACAATTTGTTCTTTGTTTACTAAATAATATTAAATATAATTCTTTTTTTTTCACCTGTCTGTCAATGGTGTAATATCTTCAATTAAATATATTTTGTTGTTTGTAATGTAGATTTAAAAATTTGCCCAAAAATTATTCTGATTATAAATATATATTCTTGGATCTGTTTATATCGGTTTAATTAACAAAGAACCCAAACCCAAAATCTATGAACTTTCGTCACACAATTTGTTGATGCTGATTTTCAACAATACAAAGTAAAATCCAAAAATAGAGATTATCTTCGAATTTGATAAAATAAATGCCTGAGATTAAGAATCTCTAGACACCGTACGATATATAAATAAAATAGAAACTAAATAATATAGACTGAAAAAGTAAATGGTGATCCCCAAAAGCAATTCACTTGAATTTGATGTCGATTGAATATGGTTTTTCAGAACAGACCCGAATCATTAAATGACCCCCTAAAGAAACGGTTTGAACCGTCGTATGGTCGGTTACAACAACCGTTGTCAACCGCCCATAAGGTCCTCCTCTGTCGAAACGTGTGTTAACCGACTCACCAACAGCCTGCGCCAGTTACAGCACTCAACTGGCTCGGCCGACCGCCTCTGAACACCTTACCGCCTTAAATGAGCAGCTGGCCCGACCGGCTACTCAGCCGCCCAAAATAACCCTTGACTCCTTAGACGAACCGCAGGCCCACCGACCAATCCGGATACTAACTGGTCGCTAGACCAAACGACTCATTGGTCGCCCAATCAAATGACCACCATCTGGTTCCTTCAATCGGCTGAACAACCATTCGTCCAGACGATTCATTGGTCGCCCAATCAAGCGACCACCATCTAGTCCCTTTAATCGGCTGAACAACCATTCGTCTGGATGATTCATTGGTCGCTTAATCAAGCGACCACCATCTGGTCCCTTCAAACAACCGAACAACCATTTGTCGAGACGATTCATTGGTTCCCCAATCAAGCGACCACCATCTAGTCCTTTCACTCGGCTGAACAACTATTCGTTCAGACCATTCATTGGTCGCCCAATAAAGTAACCACCATCCGGTCCCTTCAAACGGCCGAATAACCATTCGTCCAGACGATTCATTGGTCGTCCAATCAAGTGACCTACTGACCGCCCTTTCAAGCGACTGAACTACTCTTTGACCATGTGACCGGCAATTCGATCAGGCGATTAACAGGTCGCTTAATTAAGCGACCAATCAGTAGACCTTCCTCCGCCCGACCAATTAACAGACCTTTTCCTCTTGTCCGACCTCCGTTCGACCGACCTCCGTATCGACCGTCTCATCTTTCTTCGTGCGACTTCCTCTTTCGACCGACCTCCGTATCGACCGCCTCATCCTTCTTCGCCCGACCTTATCCTGTCCGACCTCCATATCAGCCCTTATCTTTCTTCGCCCGGCTTTGTCTTGTCTGACCTCTGTGCCGGACCTTATCTTGTCTGACCTCCGTGTCTGACCTTATCCTGTCCGACCTCCATGCCCTACCTTATCTTGTCCGACTTCCGGGCCCGACCTTATCTCATCGGACCTCTGTGCCCGACCTAATCTTGTCCGACTTTTGTGCCCGACCTCCGTGTCTGCCGATACGTCTTCTTTGCCCGACATTTGGGCCTTTTGGCTTATATCAGACCAATCCAGAATCCTACTGCCATTATTATTATTATTATTATTTGTGCTCAACAACTTGCCTCCTCCGCCCGACTTCTAAGCGTCACTTTTCATGATGTTTAGGAGTTTGCAGGCCGTCATCCGAGACCACGTCAGCCTTGGATCCGACCTCCATTGTCCGATGCTACATTAGCCTAAGATCCGATGTCCATCTATCGTGTACTGGTGGTGGCCTGCGCGTTGGTCGATCTCGCATTATAATTTCAGCCACCATTTCTTCAGCACCTTCCGTTTGTTCGTCGTTTGGTGCATGCATCTCTCTAAAAAAGGATTCTAACCTCCCCGCCTTGGATGCTAAATTGGCCAGATCTTTAACGTTGTGGGCCGTTAAAGCCTCCCGCAGTCCTGTATGCATATTCCTGACCACCAGGTTGGTCATCTCGCTCTCCTCAATGACTGTCGGGCAATGTCCCTTCATTAGACGTGTCCTTTCGATGAACTGTGAGGCTGACTCTTCTGGACATTGTTTCATTTCCAACAAATCGGAAAGAGAGATGGCTGGTAAAGGGTTAAAGAATCTAGCATGGAACGCCATCTCTAAACCTTCCCAAGTTTGTATTTGCCCAGGTGGTAGATTTACAAACCATGGAAAAGTTGTCATGGTAAGAGACAAACCAAATAGTTGTAGTTTATAAAAAGGGTTATTACCGACTTCTCCTAACTGTGCTGTGAACCGACCCACTTGCTCTATGGTGGAGGATCCGTCTTCTCCTGAGAAAGCATGAAAGCCTGGCGGTCGATAATTCCTTGGGAGAGGAAAATTGTTAATGATCCTTTCTGGAAAAGGTCTTTGATACACTGGCCTATTCACCGTTTGCGAATTCATTCCGAAATGCACCTGCAGGACTTGAGCGATGTCTTCTGGATCCACTCTAGGTGGAATAGGATCGAACACCGGAATGGGATTATGGGCCTGTCCCCCCAACCTCTCTTCCCTAGAGAAGGCTGGCTCGGCTGGGATGGGATTATAAGTCTGTTCCCCCAACCTCTCTTCCCTAGAGAAAATTGGTTCGGTTGGGATGGGATTATGAGTCTGTTCCCCTAACCTCTTTTCCCTAGAGAAGGCTGGTTCGGCTCTGACATCCAATGGAACATTATTTGGGTATGTTAGAGGAGTTTTTCCCCTGTCAACCCTAGTAGTGGCACTTTGAAGAGTGTTGTCTACATATGTAGGCCCCGAAAAATTTGCTTGTAATCTGGATGGTGACATCTCTGGCGGTGACTGAGTGGGTTGCAGAGTAATCCTTGATAAAGCCTGATCTAGCATATTTTGCATAAGGTTTTGTTGCTCATGCAACATGTTTTGTATAACCAGAGTATGCTGATTGTTCAATTGTTGAACATACGACACCCAATCGGCAGGTACTTGTGGTGCTTCTCCTGCATTCGGCATAGCAGGTGGTGAAATTTTTTCTCCCACCCGTGTTGAAGACACTTGGGGCTGTGAGCCTGCCATATGGATCCTTATGATGATTCGGCCGGACCTCAGTCGTATAAAATTCTCTCTTGACGTAGGATCAGCAATCTTGCCTTTCTCCCATTGTGGTCGCCAATTTGTTGATGCCGATTTTTAACAATACAAAGTAAAATCCGAAAATAGAAATTATCTTCGAATTTGATAAAATAAATGTCTGAGATTAAGAATCTCTAGACACCGTACGATACATAAATAAAATAGAAACTAAATACTATAGACTGAAAAAGTAAATGGTGATCCCCAAAAGTAATTCACTTGAATTTGATGTCGATTGAAGATGGTTTTTCAGAATAGACCCGAATCCTTAAATAACCCCTTAAAGAAACGATTTGAACCGTTGTCTGGTCGGTTACAGCAACCGCTGCCAACCGCCCACAAGGTCCTCCTCTGTCGACACGTGTGTTAACCGACTCACCAACCGCTCGCGCCAGTTACAACACTCAACTGGCTCGGCCGACCGCCTCTGAACACCTTAACGCCTTAAATGGGCTGCTGGCCCGACCGGCTACTCAGCCGCCCAAAATAACCCCTGACTCCTTAGACGAACCTCAGGCCAAACCGACCAATCCGGATACTAACTGGTCGCTAGACCAAACGACTCATTGGTCGCCCAATCAAACGACCACCATCTGGTCCCTTCAATCGGCTGAACAACCATTCGTCCAGACGATTCATTGGTCGCCCAATCAAGTGACCGCCATCCAGTCCCTTTAATCGGTTGAACAACCATTCGTCTGGATGATTCATTGGTCGCCCAATCAAGCGACCACCATCCGGTCCCTTCAAACGGCCGAACAACCATTCGTCCAAACGATTCATTGGTCGCGCAATCAAGCGACCACCATCTAGTCCCTTCACTCGGTTGAACAACCATTCATTCAGCCGATTCATTGGTCGCCCAATCAAACAACCACCATCCGGTCCCTTCAAACGGCCGAACAACCATTCGTCCAGACGATTCATTGGTCGCCCAATCAAGCGATCAACTGACCGCCCTTTCAAGCGACTGAACTACTATTTGACCATGTGACCGGAAAATCGATCAGGCGATTAACAGGTTGCTTAATTAAGCGACCAATCAGCAGACCTTCCCCCGCCCGACCAATTAACAGACCTTTCCTCTTGTCCGACCTCCGTTCGACCAACCTCCGTATCGGCCGTCTCATCTTTCTTCACCCGACTTCCTCTTTCGACCGACCTCCGTATCGACCGCCTCATCCTTCTTCGTCCGACCTCATCCTGTCCGACCTCCATATCAGCCCTTATCTTTCTTTGCCCGGCTTTATCTTGTCTGACCTCCGTGCCCGACCTTATCTTGCCCGACCTCCGTGTCTGACCTTATCCTGTCCGACCTCCATGCCCGACCTTATCTTCTCCGACTTCCGTGCCCGACCTTATCTCATCTGACTTCCGTGCCCAACCTACTCTTGTCCGACTTCCGTACCCGACCTCCGTGCCTACCGATACTTCTTCTTTGCCCGACTTTTGGGCCTTTTGGCTTATATTCAGACCCATCCAAAATCCTACTGCCATTATTATTATTATTATTATTATTATTATTATTTGTGCTCAACACAGTTATTAAAAATAAAAATATATAAATATTTATATTTCGTTCTCGTTTGCCTTCTTTGCCAGCAGTCCTGACGCTGATCATATGTTCTCCCGACCCATTCTTGTACTTTCTTTTTTTCTTTAGGGAGAGTTTCAAAAAATTAATTTTTTTTACCAACAGAATCCAACCCGAACATCACGGAACTCTCCATTTAGGTCCGACCAAATGCAACTTAATTTGGTATTTACATCCGACGAGGTCGGACATTAATTTCCGCTTCACATCGTAACCGACCACCGGTGGATTCGTGTCCTTGTAATCCGACCTACTCCATCCCCGACGACACGATCCTCGTCATTCAGAGCCGACTTAGTAAGACCATTTATCTCATCTATTCATTGAACCCATCGCCAACCTTTTTTTTTCCGAAATATTTCTGCGTAGGTTTAAAATTAATAAATTTATTTTATTTATTTCAATTGTTTTGTTGTCCAGAACTGAAACACCTCCTCCACTGAAAGCTTACTTTTACCTGAGGAATCCGGCATTCCAGGTAAATAATCAAATTGCCACTATTACAATTGAATTGGGTTTCCAAAACATAGGCTAATCAAAGTTATTTAAACTTCATATATTGATTCCGATACTTAGGTTCTGATTGTAGCAATATATATTGATACGATAGTATATGAAGTAAGGTGTCTTTTTCTTTCGTACTTTTTCCTTTCCTAACACCATTAAAAGTGTCAAAATATGTCAAACAATACTAACTTACAGAGTGTTAGAAGAAGAATGATATGTGAGGATGCTATGCGACAATCTACACATACAAATACTAGCAATTCCACAACATGGAATCTACAGAGTGTGCCCCCATGTACTCATTGTGGTGCCATTCTTTTCTACCGTGAAACGATGACTTTTTGCTGTGGAAAAGGTGCATTTTCTCTTGAACCTCTTGATACACCTCTATACTTCACGATCTCATATTGTATAACCATAATATGTCTGAACAGTTCATGCCATATATTCGTACATATAACAACTCTTTTGCTTTCTCCACTCTTAGAGTAAAGTATGACGTAAATATGTGTCAAAACGAACATAATTTGTACATATTCCGAGTGAATGGAACAATGCATCATTTCATAAATTCACTAACTCCTACCATTGATAAGAAAAAAATTTGCAGCTCTATTACCACGACTCAAATACAGAACTTCAGACACGGTTGCAAAACTCGCCAAATCTATTACCTGAATTAGTCGCTATACTTATAAAGACCTATTACTTAAATCCATATGCATGCTTCTTTAGACAATTATATACAATGTCTTGCACGAATGGCTATAAGATTTTCTTGAGGACAAATGCATGTCTCAATCAAAAAGTTTACAATTGTCCCACTGTAAATGATATATCTATCATCTGGCAAGACGGAGATAATCCAGGTACAGATTTACATCATGATATTCATATATATCCTATTAAAGGAAATGTAAAAAAAGTTTCTTATTTTTCATTTGCTTATGACCCACTTCAATATCCATTGTTACATCCCTATAGCCAACCTGGTTGGCATACCGAATTACTCAAAAATAACGGAAGAGTAGTTACAGAATCTAATGTTTCTGCTGCGGATTTCTAAAATCAGGTCTCTACAGATGAGGAGAACAGTGCGAGTTCGATGAATCAAAGTATACACAATAATAAACGAAGTACTTATCTCCTTCAATTTCTGTAGAGTAATACAAATTCACTTTCTTTTCGTAGAATCAAAGAAAGCAAGAATGGATAAAGGACGAATATCTATGAGAGAGTACTATTCGTATCGGTTACAAGTAAGACCTTTTTGTCCAACTATTTTGCTACAAACAGGACGTTTACTTCAACAATACGTAGTTGATCAATACATTAAAATTGGAACTCAAAGACTTGACTTCTTTCAGACTCAACAATCGCAAAACACATTTCGCCAAGATATATATCAAGGTATTCTAGATGCTTACAACAACAATGGACTCGACAAGTTGTCTATGATAGGAAAGCCTCTGTTGTTACCTTCTTCTTTTATCGGTGGCCCCCGAGATATGCATCGTCGATATATGGACGCGATGGCACTTGTTCAGACCTTTGGAAAACCTGACTTCTTTGTTACAATGACTTGTAATCCACAATGGCCTGAAATTCAGTCTTACTTGTCCACTTCTAATAGTTCCACTAATCGCCCAGACATAGTTGCACGAGTTTTTAGAGCCAAAGTTGAAGAAATCAAGCATGATATACTTAAAAAAAATGTTCTCGGAATTGTTAAAGCTTATTCCTATGTAATTGAATTCCTAAAAAGAGGACTTCCTCATATGCATATGTTGCTGATCATGGATGTTAACTCAAAGTTAGTTGTGTATCTTCCTGTAACTTCTTTATTTCAGCTGAGTTGCCAGACCAGTATAAACAGCGTGCTTTGTACAATTTAGTTTGCAAGCATATGCTACATGGTCCT